ATATATTTATAATATAAATACTAATCCGCCGAGCAATTTGGAGGAATGTTATATATTTATTATATATATAATATCATATTTATAATATATTTATTATATATATAATATTATAAGAAACAGAATTTCGTTTCTTAATTATTTGGAAATAATAAATAATTTAACCTCGTTTGACGTTCTTCTATATTCTATAGCAATCTGACAGGTATGGTTGCCTGTGTAACAAGCTTTTAGTTTTAGTTTTTGTTTATCAGTATTTTTTTTTAAACGCAATTGATTCATTTCTTTAATAGACGAGAATAAATGACACGATACTGCAAAAGATAATATTTACGAAAGAAGCTTATTCTCCGCTTATAATATTGCCAAGAGTTGACTACACGAATTACCGCATGGCGCTTGTGCGCTCGATTCATAACCTCGCCCGACATAACCTCAAAGGTGGCACAAATAGACGCATATATATGTTACCGGCATAGCATCAAAACATATGAAATCATGATCACGATATGTCTCTGCATTTACATGTACTACGCGTATTCGCATTGTACGCGAATAATGCAACGATAAAAACAGAATTTATTCGTGTTTGTTTCGATTAAAGAAATCGACGAATATTGTCGTCGAAATTAGCACCGATATCACTCGGTAAATATGTACCGTATTCTTCTTTACCGTTGCTTCAACGTAATCATTTTTAAATACATAATGTACGGTATGTATAATTGATATAAAAATAAATTAGTTTCCAACAATTTACGTCACTGCTTACGACCCACAGCTATATTATTCTTGTATTCGCATGAAATTGTGCCAAGATAAGAGTCATCATCCAGGCTAGTGACTCTTAAATTAGGCGGATAATATTCGCGAATCGCGTCAAATGTTAAAAAGTTCTAACGATTAAAATTCTACGGAATTAAACTCGTCCAGAGCAATTATTCAAATCGCGATTTCTAATACTGAAAAAAAGCTTAAGAACGGATTAGGAGCTTACAAGTCCTCGAATTCATTGGAAGCGTGTAGTCAGAAATAAAACTTAAGTTTCGAGACGCGCGAAATTAAATTCTTGCGACCGATTTCCGGAGCAACCGAAAATACACGTACGATAATGTTGGAGGCCGTGAACTGCACGTGGGTGTGCTCCTACTTTTTACACGTGCATCGAAGAATGCACCATTCTTTAACTGCAATATTATTTAACCTCAATGTTGAGAGGTAAAATTCATGACTGCTCTGCAAATATTTTTATTCAAATTTCACGACTTAATAATTCTATTGTCAACATTTAATTCAATTTTTCTAATCATTTAAACAATTAATAAATTCTTTGGCTCGCCTACGATATGCGAGTTACAAAATAAAATAGAAAAGATCGCTGCTCAAGGTTATGTCAAGGTTATGTTATGTCATAAATATCCAGAATATTTGTGAACTACGCGTCCGCAAATTATTTTATAATTTTCGCTCGAGGATTGTTTTTTTTATTAGCGCGAGAAATATGTTATAATATCGGCGGTATTATCGTATTATCGGTCACGTCGATCCGTTTTGATAATGGCGTAGTAGGTCTCGGTATACCGGTGTCCCGATTTCTATCTGGCCCGAGTGTTCACAGTCGATCCTCAGGATTTTCTACCGCGATCCATAGACGAACCCAAAAATAACTCTCCACAAGCCGGTGATCATGCTATAGCGAGATTGACGCGCCTCGTAGGTGGCACAACTGGGTGATTAATATCGTGAAACGGTATATAATCAGGCTACTAATCAGCGAATAATGATCTCCTACGACGAATTAACAGATTTGGGATGGCTGGGCGGATGATTGTGAAATGATCGGTGGCCATCGAATAATGTAACAACGAGAATTAATCATTGAACATCTTATCCTAGAATCGAATTCACATAAGACCGTTGTTGTTGTTTTACAGATGTCCCACCATCAGAGCAAGAAGAATTGTTTATCAGAAAGCTACAACAATGCTGTGTGACATTCGATTTCATGGACGCGACAGCTGATCTTAAAGGTAAAGAAATTAAACGTAGTACACTTAATGAACTGGTCGAATACATCACAGCTGGCCGGGGAGTCCTCACAGAGCCTGTCTACCCGGAGATCATTAATATGGTAAGTAGATTTTCAAAACCGCTACCCTAACTCCTGGCTCGATGAGAGAGACCGCTTTCACTATAACCTTTACGTTTGTCTGACCCACAGATTTCTGCAAATCTGTTTCGCACATTACCACCTAGTGAAAATCCGGATTTCGATCCAGAAGAGGACGACCCAACACTGGAGGCGAGTTGGCCACACCTTCAGCTAGTTTACGAATTCTTTCTACGTTTTCTTGAATCGTCAGATTTCCAACCTACGGTTGGAAAAAGAGCTATCGAGCAAAAATTTGTTCTACAGGTACGGATCACGTTTTTTTTATACGTATATATTTATAGCCAACATATTTGTCAGTCGACAAGTATTTCTTCTAATCGATGCTTTTATTTTCAATTTCCAGTTATTGGAGCTGTTCGATTCTGAGGACCCTAGGGAAAGGGATCTGCTGAAAACAGTTTTGCACCGTATTTATGGAAAGTTCCTTGGCCTTAGAGCCTTCATACGCAAACAAATCAACAATATCTTTTTGAGGTATGTGTATGTATTCGTGCAACTATAGAGTTATCTGTTCGACGAGTCGTTACTAAAATGTTTCGTTGTTTTATTACAGGTTTGTGTATGAAACGGAACATTTTAACGGTGTTGGGGAACTTCTTGAAATTCTGGGTAGCATTATAAATGGATTTGCTCTTCCCTTAAAAGTCGAGCACAAGCAATTTCTGGTTAAGGTAAAAACAGTCGACGTAAAAAGCTGCTCTATGTAACGTATCATTAAATTTCCATGTTTGCGTAACGATTTCTTGTTCCACAGGTGCTGCTGCCACTACATAAAGTGAAGTGCTTATCATTATATCATGCACAATTAGCTTATTGTGTGGTACAGTTTCTTGAAAAGGACGCTACCCTAACAGAACCAGTTATACGAGGCCTCCTTAAGTTCTGGCCTAAAACGTGTAGCCAGAAGGAGGTAATGTTCCTTGGAGAAATTGAAGAAATTTTGGATGTCATAGAACCTAGCCAATTTATTAAAATACAGGAACCTTTGTTCAGGCAAATTGCACGTTGCGTGTCTTCACCGCACTTTCAGGTGTGTGAATCGAAATAATGATTTAAATGCCGCGATTAAACTACGGAACTTCAACAAAGTAAAAAATTCGTGAAATCGTTCATAAGATACCGGCGCGTGAGTCGTCAAAATTGTATTTTCTTTGAACGTACGAGGATCCGTAGCCTAATGACAGCAAGTAACAAATCCAGCGAATAATTGTAAACGTTAACCGTGTTTCAGGTTGCTGAGAGAGCATTATACTTTTGGAATAATGAATACATAATGTCTCTAATTGAGGAAAACAATCATGTTATAATGGGAATTATGTTCCCGGCATTGTATAGAATTAGCAAGGAACACTGGAATTCTACAATTGTAGCCCTTGTTTATAATGTTCTTAAAACATTTATGGAAATGAATAGTAGGCTCTTCGATGAACTTACTGCCAGCTATAAGTCTGAAAGGCAAAAGTAAGTAGTGTGACGGCTGCGCCGATTCATTACCACGATGACCGGGTGTGCCGATATAGTTGTCGCATTATCTATAGAAATATTTTGTAATGTTAGAGAAAGGAAGAGAGAAAAGGAGAGGGACGAAATGTGGAAGAAACTGAACGAATTGGAGGTAGTACAACGTAATGCTCTTACAGCGACCTCCAGTTCCTCCAACCCTCCAGTTCCTGCCACTACCGCACCTGCGACACAAGCCCGCCCCTGAGCTGGTGAGTAACATCTCCGCTCGTCGACTAATTTGCCTGCGAGAGAGACGTCCCGGTAATCTGTAGTAATAAAAAAAAACGTGTCTGAGACCGCTTCAGAAGTATCAAGAGAAATAAATAAATAAATGAACGAAAAGAGAGGCAAAAAAAAGAATAATAAGAGAGAGAATTGTAAATGTTTTTCCAACGAGCCGAATAAAATAAGTTACAAGTACGATAATCATTTTTTATTGCAGGTGGAAGTACACTACCACGCTGCCCGATCATTAGTCCTTAGTTTACGTCGATTGTCCATATACTACATGCAAAAAATTACTGTTGTTAGCAAAAGCAAAGTGTCCCACAAATGGCATTCTTGACGTAATCGTAATTCCTTTTTAATTAGTTTAACCGCCCGAAAAACGGGGGCGCGAGCGGAGAAGAAAGAAAGAAAAAAAAAGTCTGCGGAGGAAGCAGTGATATTCACGATATTGTTCATTGATAATGATGATGATGATAATGATAATGATAATGATAATGATGATAATGATGATGATGATGATACGATGATACGATGATGATTGATGAGTTCTAATATTTTTATTGTGTACATTAATTTTCCACGTTTCTTTTTTTTCCTTTTTTCTTTGACAGCAATGATTTCAGTTGTATAATGTACTCAGTGTCAGCACATAATACTAGGATGTTAGTCCCTTCTTAACCCTATAAGGTTCAGCTGTGCTCGGTAGGAGGAGATGATCAAGGTGTAAATTCGAGTATAGATGATGTATATCGTTATAATGTTAATTTTTTGCATGTGACATTCGCGCTTCGGTTATTAAACGGCTGAGTGTCCTATCACGACTGACCCACCTTACTCTGATTCTCGCCTCCGACGGAGCCAGCGGGGGCGTTGTTTGAAATGTATCATATATTCGTATTAATGATAACGATAACTATAACAAAACATAATAAAATTAGGTAAATATATATAAATATAAATATATATATATATATATATATTGTATACATATATATATATATATATATATATGATACAATATATTATAAAAATATAGTAATATTGATGATACGACAAGTCACACCATTCACACATACACGAAATTACACCAAACTGTGGTTAACACGTGTAACGTACAGACCGATGTGCTACAAAAAATACTAACAATTACGCTGACTGCATGCCCGCAGCAAAATGGAAAATAAATTTTTTCATGGAGGGTGAGAGCCGTGACCCGATATGCGACAGGCATATCAAAAAAATGAAAAAAATGAGAATAATAATAATAATAATAATATTATTGAACAATAAGGTTTAATTCATTGAAACAAGAAGAAAACGTAAAAATATATGTTGTTTTATAAATAAAAAAAAGGAAAAGCTCTATAAATAATAAAAAAAAATAAAAGAAGCGAGAGGGGCAAGTATACAATAAAGAAAAAAAAATTTAATTGTACCAAAATATCCATTGCTTATAAATATAATAAATAATAGAGATACAATTGCATAAGATTTATTCGGAGCTGTGCTCCCACAGGCCACCGCAGAGACGTGGGATCGTTTTTAAAGTTTCTTACCATTGCATAATAAATAATTAAAACAATAGTAGCTCTTAAAATAAATAGGTGGTTAACAAAATGAGTGAGTGCTTGCTCATATTTTCATGAAGTAGCCGAGACGAGACTTGTTACATTTTTTTGATTCTTTTCTTTCCATCCTCTTTTTGTTTTCTCTTGTGTCGGATATATATTGTTTACCTCGTTAACTCATAGTACACTTTGTTTACGAATGTACACACTGTTTATCTCCACTTCATGAAAATTAGTTCAAAGGTAAAAATCGAAGTATATAATTATTGTAAATGCTGTAATGTGACTCGAGAAGAACAACATAGATAAAAATTCATAAGAGTTCTATACGCATAAATAGACACTTTATTAAACGAACGTCTAATTTATTTCTACTCTCTGGTTGTTTCTTTTCTTTTGTGTCTGTGATTCTATTTTTTTATTCTTTCTCTCTCTCTCTCTCTCTCTCTCTCTCTTTCTTTCTCTATCCCCCTCTCTCTCTCTCTCTCTTTTTCTTGAAACACTTTGCTTAGTCGAACATCAGTAGATCGTTAGAGCTGTTTGTCGTGGCCTATTTTTTTTTCTTTCTTTTTAGGTTTATGCAAAGACAAATCCCACTCCTCCCTTCTTCGTACGATGGTATGATAGAGCATTTTTGATAATTAATTATTACGTTCTGGGCTAACGTAGGCTTTTTTAGCGCTGTTTCAAGTGTACTCTCTCTATAATAAGGGATTCTTGATAATATATATTAGTATTTTTTTATATACTGTGACAACCGCATTTGTACGACAGCATATGATTACAAGATTCGGATGAAAAAAAAAATAAGAAAGAAAAGAACGACACACGTTTTGCAAAGCAAAGATATCGACTTCCGCACAGTTTGCGAAAAAGCCAAAAAAAAAGATGGGAATTATAATCAAAAAGACTAGAACAATAGAGATTCTACGAATACAAAACGCGCGAGCTACACTGTGATAGTCTATCGTACACGTATTTATCGTTAAAACGCAATCATTAGCGATTATTATAAATTAGATTTTCTTTTCCTCTTCCCCCCACTACTTCCCTTTACGCAAATCGATGACCCAGCAAACCTCACTACATATTTACGATTAGTACGAATTATGGTGACGAACATGATTTCATTGTGTATATATATATAGATTTAATAGATATATACTTCAGATACTCGTATTAATCACTGTTTAGAAAGGAGAAAACAGAACAGTTGTACAGTTGATTTTAGAATGTAAAAAAGAGTAACATAAACGAAAGTTGATTAATTTATCCTTTGTCATATTAAGCGTAAGAGTGACTAGCTTATTCGTATAATACATCTAAGCGCAGTATAATTAAAAAGTAAGATTATTAATTCTTTATTTATATACATGAGAACGACTATACATACAGGCAAAAGCAATAGACATTTTCACGAAAAAAAAAAGAAAGAAATCTAATCGTACGAACGTTCAACGAGTTATCTCATTCTCTACGGATCTCTCTGTTCGAATAATTCAAATTCATAAATTAACTTTTTCCACGTTCGAGACTATTTACGAGAGAATTTAGTATTTTTTTTTATTCCGCATGTATTTATATAGCTACAGAGATGCAACGATACATATATATATACAACTCTGGTGCATCAATTCTACAAACAAAATAAATACACGCATTAAATATGTTTTGATTTCATTTTATAATACTAATATGTATACTAATTGTCGAGGTAGGTTATGATTTACGTATAAAAAAATAGAAGAAGCAATACAACCAACATGTACGTGGTCAAAATAAAGGAGAAATTTTAGTATGACTTCGTGCAAATAGGAACTTCAAAAAATACAAAAAGAAATTAACAGAAATTATTTTTATTTGTCATGTTCTTTCGCAAAACAGTTAATGCGCCTTAGGTATATATCCATAATGTATTAGCAGACGAGTTTAAATAATTTGAAGACTAATATTATTTAAATATATATATTATATAATATTATATAATATATATTATTATACAAAATTATTTAATATTATTTAAATATATATATTATATAATATATTAGAATATAAATTTTTACACATTTGCGACAAATCGGAAGAAAATTTTATTTACAAAAAAAGGTCGATTACGTTGCTGCAATCTTGACAAGATAGCTCATACAAATTAAAATAACTTGCTTTTGAACCTAATAATAACTAAAAATGAAATAATTAACTTGCTTTTTGAAAGCAAGTCTGTGTTTCCTTCCTCTTGTGTGTTGCCTTTAGTTCTCTATCATGAATTTCGCAATGACAAAGATGACAACAGCAAATTTCAGCCGCACCTCGTAGATAACGAATTGTGGACCAAGCGGCGGTGGCGTGTCGACTGCCTCATCAAAATCAGGATTCATAAGACTTGGGCCTGAATTTGGTGTTCAAAGTTTTCTTCATCTAGTCTGACAGCTTTCCGTCGTCCGTTACCGGCGACGTGAGCATCGTATCGAATAAATAAATAAATAAATATGGTACAAGTGACGTCGCAAAGCTCACGTCGTAGAGTGAGGTTTGGTGGTTATGGCCTCCTTCTAACGTCTTCGTCCATTCAAATGCTCGCGACGCGTCCTGTTTCTAATCACAGCCTATCTTACAGCATCGCAATAGCGATGTAGGGACCTTGGGCCGCATTGCCGTCATCCATCCCCCTGCAGCGCCAAATGTTTACCGCGGTTAGCGTCGCCAACTATTTGTTGCTCCTGAAGAGTATGTTGTGCTCTATGCAGAATTAGATTGCTGATAAACAGTACTGTAAAACTAACGAGTTTTTATAGTACCATAATATAGATTCCTGAGGTGATTCGAAGCAACTTTTTCCTTAGCGAAAATCAGAGGCGAGATTGTTTGGTGCGAGACGGCCGAGCCAATGAGCGGAACCGGGCTCCGCGCGCTCGTT